TTCTCCTGCTTGGTATGGCTGTTCTCCTGCTTGGTATGGCTGTTCTCGTGCTTGGTATGGCTGTTCTCGTGCTGGGTACGGCTGTTCTCGTGCTGGGTACGGCTGTTCTCGTGCTGGGTACGGCTGTTCTCGTGCTGGGTACGGCTGTTCTCGTGCTGGGTACGGCTGTTCTCGTGCTGGGTACGGCTGTTCTCGTGCGGCTGTTCTCGTGCTGGGTACGGCTGTTCTCGTGCTGGGTACGGCTGTTCTCGTGCTGGGTACGGCTGTTCTCGTGCTGGGTACGGCTGTTCTCGTGCTTGGTATGGCTGTTCTCCTGCTGGGTACGGCTGTTCTCGTGCTGGGTACGGCTGTTCTCGTGCTTGGTATGGCTGTTCTCCTGCTGGGTACGGCTGTTCTCATGCTGGGTACGGCTGTTCTCCTGCTGGTTGATTTTCTGCTACTAGTTCTTGCAAAATATTGCTTCATTTTTGGCATTAATAAGGTACTATAAGTAAGCCCCTGAGACATTTTGTTTTATAACCAAAGAGCTTTAGTAAAAAAATGGTCAATTCCACGATTATTCTTCCACCGGCGGATAAATACTGTACGTCAATCGCAGACAAAGCAAAGGGCACTGGATGCATACTGTACGAACGCAGACTAAGTCTATACGTACACCCTTCAGTAGGCTGGTGTTTAAGCCTGATCCAGTAACATAAATTTCTCTTAAATATTCGATTTACATCAAATTATATATTTTTGGGTTATATATTTAGTTTAGCAACATTATTACGATAATAAGAGCTATAAAAAATACTTATTTTGGAACTGATTTATTAATTTTATTATTTTGAAGCCGTAGATCGCTGAACTGTGGCGACGAAATCGAACAAAACACTGCCTGGTGTTGTGTTCGATTTCCAGTAACATATATTTCTCTCAAATATTCAATTTATATCAAATTATATATTTTTGGGTTACATATTTAGTTTAGCAACATTATTACGATAATAAGAGCTATAAAAAATACTTACTTTGGAACTGATTTATTAATGTTATTATTTCGAAACCGTAGATCGCTGAACTGTGGCGACGAAATCGAACACAACAACCATGGTGTTGTATGGACAGGGATTAGACCTGTCCACTCGTGCTGGAGTTGTGCTGCCAATAACGTGAATAATTTCTCAAATAGGAGATATCTATCTTATTACAGTATATTTTTGGTTTTATTTAGTTTAGTTTAATTAGGATAATAAAGAGTTATTAAAACACCAGTTTTAGAAATGATTTATTAATGTAAAACGTTCAAAGCCATGGGTCACTAAACTATGACAACACAAATGAAAGTGAGTGAAACCTCACTGTAAAGTGAGGTTTACTGTACAGTATTCCCTTATCTGTCCACCCTCACTCGTCTTGTTTCATCACAGAAAATGTATATAAGAAGATTTCAACATATTAGCTAGCTATTCATGCTTCAGCCTTTAAATTAATTTACAAAGATACGTGTGCCACAAATCGGTGAACGAAAATCATTGAAACTCAGTCGTTCACTTGTGTGGACGACTCTGGCTGGTGTTTGGTTAATATGCGTCACTTCTTGTGGACCATTCTGGCTGGTGTTTGGTTCATATGATTCATTTGTTGTGTGGTCCACTTGTGTGATCCAACTTGTCATATGAAGGAATTAATAATTGTAATCTGTGATAGAATGTGAAAGTTTTCCACCACTCTGTGAACTCTGTCTCGACGTTGTAAGCAAATCCGAACATCCCCCGCTTTGGCGAACCATTGTTCGTCGAACCGGGTGAGTAAATCCGGCCTGAAAAGAGTGCGAACTAGCCGGAGATTCGTTGAATCGGGGTACGTTGAATCAAGGTTGTACTGTACTTCAAATTAGCATTATGTGCTCTTTACCTCATTAAGTACCAGATAATTAAAAAAACTCATAATGCATAGGTTGTATGCAATTACTTGCATACAGTAGGTGGTTACCTAATTTACCTGGGTCTGTAAGGAGCAAGACTGGTATTTAGGACCTCAGGATTTTATTGATTACTGGTGTGTTTGGACTCTGCAACCTCCTATTTACTTCTGAAGCTGTGAGTGATGGTGGCCTGTGTTTATTACTCCTGTTGTGTAACAAATTTTTATTCAACTTTGAAGAGGGATAATTTAGTTTAAAAGTAGCAAATGGTAAGTTAGATACAGGGGTTATCTTGAGTTGATTTCGGGGCTTTGTTTTTAGTGTCCCCGCGGCCCGGTCCACGACCAGGCCTCCACCCCCAGGAAGCAGCCCGTGACAGCTGACTAACACCCAGGTACCTATTTTACTGATAGGTAACAGGGGCATAGGGTGAAAGAAACTCTGCCCATCGTTTCTCGCTGGCGCCCGGGATCGAACCCGGGACCACAGGATCACAAGTCCAGTGTGCTGTCCGCTCGGCCGACCAGCTCCCATAATTTTTAAATGATCGGATGTTGCTGCTACACATACTGACAGCTGTGGGGTTCCCAAGCCCCTACACACTGGGCACCCAGTTCTCCCGACCCACAGAGTAACTGGGTCCCGAAGTGGAGCATTTCCAGTTCCCTGCCGTCTCTAGGCCAGGGCAACTGCAGGGTCTCCAACCCTCGGAGCATTTCCGGTCCTCCCCTCTTGAGAGGTACCGTAGGGTCTCCTAACCCTCAACTTTTGGGCTCTTCCAGACTTCAGAAACAGTGCAACTCAACACTCGACCACTCCCCAGGATGCAACCCACAACAGTTGACTGACTCCCGGTACCTACTTAATGCTAGGTTAACATGGGCAATGGGTTTAAGGAGACCTGCCCGTTTGTCTCGCCCTGCCCGGGACTCGAACCCAGGACCTCTCGGTTGTGAGCCGAGCACGCTGACCACTGCGCCACAGGTTACCCTGTGGTACCTCGGTTTATAAATTTAACCCGTTCCTGGAGACGGTTTGTAACCCGAAGATTTGTAAACCGAAGCAAGTTTCCCCATAAATAATGGGAAATGAATTAATCCGTTCTTGACCCAAAAAATTAACTTCAAAGTAAATTTTATACCCAATTCATTCAAATCTTCACTACAAAAGTATGTAAAAGAGATCACCTTTACTGATGACTCCTGTTAACGTATGGAAGATGAAGAGGGAGGGGGGAGGTGTTATTGTTTGTAAGGGGAGTCCCCTTCCATTATAACATCAGGCAATGAGGACTTCTCTGGGGTGCACTCTGGCACATTTTGCCTGCTTACCACTAAGACCTGCTTCTAGCTCACTGAATGATTTTTTGTTTTTCTTGATTGTTTTTCCCTTCTTTGTAACACTTATCTGTAATGAGACATCACATTGTTATTAATAAGATCAATGCAACGGCCTGCTAAAGCTTTATCTAGGCGATTCTTTTCAGCAAAACTTTGCAGTTCTTCCCATACTGCACATATTTTCTTAATTAATGAGGAAGGGACATCCTCTACTGCCTCCTCCTCCCCTGAATATTAGTTATACTGCCCAGCTAGTTCAAAAACACGTGTGCCATTTTCATGTTTACGAATGATCTCTTGTTTTTCCTCTATGGCCATTCTTACATGTGTTTTCTTGTCTTGAACCTTACCACTGGCTTTCTTGGGACCCATGGCGAGATATATAATAACAACTTTTATGTTCAAATAGCCAAAAATCCCCCCAAAAATGTAAATCCTTGCGAGGAATTCAGGCGGGAGGCACTGGGAGACTGAGGCGTGATTGCCATGCCACCACATGCTGGTCGGCCATACGCGTATCAACAAATCTGTATCCCGAGGCAAAGTTCATAACCCATTTCAAATTTTCCGAAGAAATCGGGCTCGTAACCCAAAGAGTTCGTAAAGAAGGGCATTCGTAAACCGAGGTATCACTGTACTTTGAATTTTCATATGCTATGTAATTTGAAAAATGTATGATTTTTTGTTGTATATAATTTCTAATTGTTAAATGTGTAGTGAAAAGTTATAATATATATACAATTTAAGCTAAAGTGTATACATTAATGCCTTTTGACAAATGTGTGTGATGGGAGAATATTTTGAGGGATGGTTATAAATGATAAAGAACAAATAGGGTTAAAAACACACTTTAGAATGTGTGTAGTGTTAGTGAAAAACCAGAGACAGGATAGGTAGATTTGTTGGAAAATAGCAATGTTTACTTTCCTTGTGATGGTTCCGTGAATCGACGTCCCCACAGCCCAGTCTTTGACCAGGCCTCCTGGCTGGTGGTCTGGTCAACCAGACTGTTATGCTATGAACAAGTTAAAGGAAAAGGCTCATGCTGCTGATGGAATAACTTCAGGTACATTGTTTAGTGGACAAAATGTCGAATGCGTGTCAGATTTCATAGCAGGAGGGCGCGGTGCCAGATGATTGTACCAAGGATATGGTTTCTATATACTGTGTAAAGAGCAGTAGGGAAGAATGTGGGAAAAAGGGAGTTAGTTTGTGTATATCTTGGGGGCAAAGTGTGTGCAAATTGTGTTGACAGGATGCAGGATGAGTTCAGGAATGGGAGGGGTTGTGCAAATCAGATTTTTACTGTGAAAGTTGATGGTACTTGCTCCGGGTAGGCTCTAAAATGTCCAGTGTCTTGTGTGTTGGATTTTGCCCCATAGTACTGGTGTACGGGTTTACCTGAAAGGGTATTTCATTATGCTAAAGGCATTATTTTTGCATTTAAATACATAACAAAGGTGATTTGCTTTCTATAGAACTGGATAATGTTTGCAACTTGCAGAAGTATGGTGGGGGTGCAAGGAAGTTGGCAAGAGGCAGATGAAAGTGGGGGGGGGGGAGAAGGACGAGGTTAGCGAGAGGGGGAAGGAGGTGGTTGTATTATATTATATATATAATAATATATAGTTTGACATTATGTGATTAAAGTTTAATTAAATTATATTGGTGTTGGAATAACAATAGTCACGTTATGTTTGCCTCTCCTACAGTTTTTAGTTTGAGTATAATGTATGCTTTGTTAACTTCAGGTTTGTAAGCTAGAAGAAAGCATACAAGAAATTCAGATTTTGCTTCATGGCGTTGAGGAAGAGAGGGGCAGCTTGTCTACTTGCCTGCAAACTGAAAAGAAAAGAAGTGAAGAGTTAAGTGAAAGAGTCCACCAACTGGAGATGCAGATGAAGGAGAAGGAAGTAGTACAACAGTTCCTAGAGAAGGAGATCACCTCACGTGAGGCAGAGGTGAGGATATTATGTTGTTTTACTTTTTAAAATAATATTTCTTATGAATCTGTTTCCATGCATTAATTTTTTACTTAGTCGTATTATTAAGTATAAACATTGAGTGATAGAGTTTAACTTTGGGTTGTGTGTTCACTGGGAACGCCCGGCTTGCCTTGCGGTGCGATGTGAGTGGCCTGCTGTGCATGCCAAAGTGTTAAGGAGATCACGTCACGAGGCAGGGGTGAGAATACTGTATTATGGCAGTTTTACTTTTTAAAGCATAAAATGTGTGTGATTGTGTGTGCATACAGTTAGGCTTTGAAATAAGCGTTTAGCCTGTAAAGAAGGGATCAAATTGCTAACTCTCACAGTATAGAGGGAATACATAATAATTTATAAAATAAAGGGAATACAGAGAACCTATATGGCACGTATAGACAATAAAACACCTAAATTATTGGGACTGTCTCAAAGCTCTTGAAATGTACTTTCTGGAAAGGAGATGAGCAAGGTACCTATCATGGCTACCTTAGGGATCTGGGGATCAATGGTCCTGCGGCCTTGTTGGTATCAAATAATGTGTATCTTGAGGATTTCGGGGCTTAGTGTCCCCGCGGCCCAGTCCTCGACCAGGCCTCCACCCCCAGGAAGCAGTCTGTAGCAGCTGTCTAACTTCCAGGTACCTATTTACTGCTAGGTAACAGGGGAATCAGGGTGAAAGAAACATTTTGCCCATTTGTCTCCACCTCCACCGGGGATCGAACCCGGAACCTCAGGACTACGAATCCGAAGCACTGTCCACCCAGCTGTCAGTACATGGAAGATATTGGAATGCCAGGTCCCAAATTTGCATAGTAGGATATCAACACGTTGGAACGAAAGATGTGGAAGGAAATGTAGAATAGAACCAATTATGAGTAGAGGTTCCATAGGCACAATCGGAGAGCACTGTCTAAATGTCAGAGGTCCACGGCTGTCCAATACCCCTCTCAGCAAGCATTAGAAATACAGTACAGTGTATTGCCAGAACAAAGTTGAATGTCATCATGAAGCATTGGGTTAACTTCTTGCAAGTGCTGAACCAAACTGATTGTAGTGCATACATGAACCTGTGGGCTGCTCCAGCAACAGGCTATTGGACCAAGTTACCACAAGTGAAGCCTGGCCCCAGGCCGGGCTCGGGAAAATAGGACAAGTCCCAGAACCCCAGAACCCACTCCGGTATGCTCCAGTGTCCTCCTGAGAAAAAAGCATCAGAAGGTTTTTAATGAGTTAGCTTCCATGGGTGGAAGCAGAGTGGACATCATTTCAGATTCGTAGTTCTGAGGTTCCGGGTTCGATCCCCGGTTGAAATGAAAACAAATGGAAAGAGTTTCTTTCACCCTGATGGCGGCTGCTTCCTGGGGGTGTAACAAAAAGGAGGCCTGCTCGAGGACTGGGCCACGGTGACGCTAAGCCCCAAAATCATCTTGAGATAACCTCAAGATGCTGCGGATAAATTCTCCCGCTATTATATTATAGTGTTTTGTGAACAAATATTGATGTTATACTCGGGCAATTAGACTATTTCTTGGAATTAAAGTGCAATTTCTAGAATACTTAAAGGACGAGTGACTTCGTTATTTGCGAGATTTGAAGTAGACTGTTTCGCCTCTTTGCCACTGACCCCTTTGGAAGAAGAGGGGACAAAGCCTCTTTCCTCCACAACTGCTGGCACTACTGTACTCCCACCATTACTGTTGCACGTTCCTGATTGCTGGCACTACTGTGCTCCCACCATTACTGTTGCACGTTCCTGACTGCTGGCACTACTGTACTCCCACCATTACTGTTGCACTTTCCTGACTGCTGGCACTACTGTACTCCCACCATGACTGTTGCACTTTCCTGACTGCTGGCACTACTGTACTCCCACCATTACTGTTGCACTTTCCTGACTGCTGGCACTACTGTACTCCCACCATTACTGTTGCACTTTCCTGACTGCTGGCACTACTGTACTCCCACCATTACTGTTGCACTTTCCTGACTGCTGGCACTACTGTGCTCCCACCATTACTGTTGCACTTTCCTGACTGCTGGCACTACTGTACTCCCACCATCACTGTTGCACTTTCCTGACTGCTGGCACTACTGTACTCCCACCATTACTGTTGCACTTTCCTGACTGCTGGCACTACTGTGCTCCCACCATCACTGTTGCACTTTCCTGACTGCTGGCACTACTGTACTCCCACCATTACTGTTGCACTTTCCTGACTGCTGGCACTACTGTGCTCCCACCATTACTGTTGCACTTTCCTGTCTGCTGGGACTACTGTACTCCCACCATCACTGTTGCACTTTCCTGACTGCTGGCACTACTGTACTCCCACCATTACTGTTGCACTTTCCTGACTGCTGGCACTACTGTACTCCCACCATTACTGTTGCACTTTCCTGTCTGCTGGGACTACTGTACTCCCACCATCACTGTTGCACTTTCCTGATGGCTGGGACTACTGTTCTCCCACAATAACTGTTACACTTTCCTGATGGCTGGGACTACTGTACTCCCACCATTACTGTTGCACTTTCCTGACTGCTGGGACTACTGTTCTCCCACAATAACTGTTACACTTTCCTGATGGCTGGGACTACTGTACTCCCACTATTACTGTTGCACTTTCCTGACTGCTGGGACTACTGTTCTCCCACAATAACTGTTACACTTTCCTGATGGCTGGGACTACTGTACTCCCACCATCACTGTTGCACTTTCCTGACTGCTGGGACTACTGTACTCCCACCATTACTGTTGTTATGTACTTCTACAGCTTTCTTAGCAGATGATGAGTCACAATAACATGGCTGAAGATGGAGAGATAATGACGTTTTTGTCTGTTCTGGACCATTATCAAGTTGATTGTGATGGGACAAAGGAAGGTACGAGCAATAACCCTCTGTCCCATCACAATCGATTTGATAATGGTCCAGGATGGATCGGAACATCATAGCCTCTCCATCTTATGCTGTGTGGTTTGGTCATCATTTTTTTTTCTCTCCAATGTTTCAATATTGATGTTCTAGCTAAACTCGGTCTTACTCCAGCTCATTCAATTGATTTGCCACTGGATATATAATGTAACTGTTTTACCCACCCACAAATGTACAAACCTAAACAACTGACTTAACCTATTGAGACTCGTGCAAAGAAATACCAATACCTTATTTGTGTTTTTATATTTTCTAATGGATTGCATTTTTAATCTGTGATGCACCGCGTTTATTGTGACATTCTGATGGTGCGCCGAAAATCAAGTGTTTGCAAAGAAAAAAAAAACTTGTAAAATGTTAGATTCCCTTCCCTAAACATGTGCATGTAAGAAAAAAAAAAATCTGGCTGTGGAGACATGAGAAAATGGGGTCTGACGTCGTCGCAGGCTGTTCGCCCATGAGTGAAGCTTCCAGAGGCGATCGTGCAGGCGTTTAAAGCCTCGCGAGTTGCCACCAATATATTAACATTTATATTTTCTATGTATTTTCAATGCTTTATAATTAGTTTTTTATCATATATGATGGACATTTGTGTCGTTTACAATATGTATACAGTAGAACATTCATATGTTACATGGAACTGTGATACATGTCAGTAATGTGTCCACAACAAGTGTTCATTGGTGCAATATTACCTGTTCAATATTCAATAAATTTACATTATATATATACACATTCACACTACAGTCACTGTATTACACACTCAGTACTTCGGAAGGGTGTGATAACCAAAGCAGCAGCCCATTGTATAAAGCGTGACATCGTACTGGATGCACCAGGTACAAACGGATTTCGCTTCCTATTTCTTCATTGTGTGTGCATGCGAATAATGCCCTCACGTACACCCTTGACTTTAGTACCTGTAGGTGGTATGTAGCCAAGCTTGTAAAGATCTAGGAAAAGCTCAATGACAAAATTCTGGCCTGGTATCACTCATATCTTCACCTGTATATGGGAAAGTGGGTGCAACATCAGAATCATCAAATTATGTTTCGTGTGTTACAAAATTATCACAGTCCTCCCTCGCGAATTCACCCGTGCTCCTTGTATTGGCACCACAACCACTGGCAATAAACTCCACCATGGAAGCCACTAACACTCTGTTCATTTTTGCTACTTGTATCAGATGCATCATCACTGAACCCGGAAAACAATTCATCTATATTATCACCTATAAAAATTGGAGATGACACGGAGGGCATGGGTGGTGCTCAGCTACTACTGGATACGCTTGCTGTATCATCCTCATTGGTGCTGTATCACTTGTATCCGACACTTGTGTCAGAGCCTTATTGTACCTAGCTTCATCAATGTTATGACTCTTACGTTCAAACAATAAGGTCTGAATTTTACTGACAGAGCGATCTTTCACCAATGTATCGGACAGGGGTTGGGAGCCAGAGGCTTGTGCGCCACCCATGGTTGCTCACTCAGAACCGAGCCAGCCAGCAGCCCTAGGGCATTCTAGGAATTTTTTCCAATATGGCTGCCTTTCACTGGAAGTCCCAGGAGTCCATTTCATACCCAATCAACCGCTCGCGCATTTTGAATAATTAAAAATCTTAAGTTGATGTTTTCCCAGCCTGTGCTTTTTGCGAAACGAGTTTTCTCGGCCAGTCAGTCCAATGTTTAATGGATAGGTAAATTCCATTAATAATGTGATGCATTGTGAGAGAGGATGGGTTGCATGCTTACCATATAATGTTTCCTAATTGCAGCTAGTGGCTTACCTGTCAATATGTGTAGGGAACAAAATCTTGCTCTACGGACTAGGGCTCGTAGCTGTTGTGCCGTGTTATTTTAAATCTTTAATGTTCTCTTCTTATGTTGGTTCTTGAAACAAAGGATGAATTTTCCAACATTATAATGCATTCCACTAGTTGACCTCACACACTATTCTGTTTGCATTTCTGACTTCTACTTGTGCCCCGTTGTCTGCGTAGTCCTCGTTTAAAAAAAAAAAAAAAAGTGTCTTTCCCCAT